ACATCCCCAACCTCTCCTCCCAGCAGCCTGCAAAGAACTTACAGTGTCTGGTAGGTGCTGTCCTTTGACCGGAGGAATTTCATCACAAAAAATAGGACAGCTTGGATGCTGAGCACCAGCACTATCCCTCCAATGAAGCTGGCAGAATCGAAACCTGGCGGATGAAACTCAGGGGAGCCAGTTAGGGGAGGGCTGCCGGCTGTGGTACCTAGGACAAAACAAAGCCAAAATTGGTATATGGCATACAAGATTCACCCCAGATATCTCACACGCTCACTACCTTCCCCTGCCTCACTACATCAGTGTTGCCATTTAAATCCTCCATCTGAATCTTGTGCAGTGGGCCCTTGGTATCCGTTGAGGATTTGTTCCAGGATCCACTCCGCCCCGTTGGATATCAAAATGTCAGTGTGTGGATAATGGGTGTTGCAGTGATGCTCTTTGACATCCAGCAGAATATCCAGGACAAGCTGGCTGCTGTGATCCACAGCCACTTTGTATCTCTTACCATCAACTGGCTCAGCTTCCCTTCTTCAGGATCCTGTCTTCCTCAGTCAAGAAGACACATTGTAAAGTCCAAAAACATAGTTTTATTAATGCATATAAAAGAAAAATAAGATAGCTAAGTAAAATCCATTGTGATGAACTTGTCCAGTTCAGCCATGAAAGATTACATCTTTAGCAATCCTAAAAGCATAGGATCCCAACTTGTTGCAGTTGAAAGTTAAGAAGAAGTTACAGATCCATGTTTCCAGATCTAGGAGTTACATTATAAAAGCAGTATAAACATACTAAAAACTATCTCCTAACTTCATGGTTAAAAATCACGCACACACATCTTGAATTATAAACATAAACTAGACAAAGAGATGTTTAATGTGGAACTAGGACAAAACAAAGCCAAAATTGGTATAAGGCAAACAAGATTCACCCCAGATATCTCACACGCTCACTACCTTCCCCTGCCTCAATATATCAGTGTTGCCATTTAAATCCTCCATCTGAATCTTGTGCAGTGGGCCCTTGGTGTCCGTTGAGGATTTGTTCCAGGATCCACTCCGCCCCGTTGGATATCAAAATCCATGGATGCTCAAGTCCCATTAAATACAATGGCATAGTGAAATGGTATCATTTATATAAAATGGCAAGACAAGGTTTGCTTTGGGAATCTATATTATTTTTGAATATTTTCAGGCCGTGGATACTTGAATCCATGGATAAAAAAAATCTGGGGATACAGAGGGCCAACTGGACCAAGGTCAACTAAATCTTGGCAGGAAGAAACCACTTTATTCTGCAATCTGAATAAAATATTGTTGAAAAAGATCCACGCAGTTCACCAGCTTCTCTCTACATCCATTCCATCTAAAGGATCTTATTTTTCCATATAGGATCCTTCCGGTATTAAGATTGTCAGTGGAGGTTTTTCTCTTCGTCCTGACACCCTAGAGGCACTTTTTATGAGAATTCAAGAGAAGACCTTCTTGGTGGCTGTGCCCAGCTTGCAGAACGTGGTAGAATCATAGAATCATAGAGTTTGAAGAGACCACAAGGGCCATCCAGTCCAACCCCCTGCCATGCAGGAACTCCCAATCAAAGCATCCCTGACAGATGGCCATCCAGCCTCTGCTTAAAGACCTCCAAGGAAGGAGACTCCACTACTCTCCGAGGGAGTGTGTTCCACTCTCGAACCGCCCTTACTGTCAGGAAGTTCCTCCTAATGTTGAGGTGGAATCTCTTTTCTTGCAGCTTGCATCCATTGTTTCGGGTCCTAGTCTCTGGAGCAGCAGAAAACAAGCTTGTTCCCTCCTCAATATGACATCCCTTCAAATATTTAAACATGGCTATCATATCACCTCTCAGCCTTCTCTTCTCCAGGCTAAATATACCCAGTTCCCTAACTCATTCCTCATAGGGAATGGTTTCCAGACCCTTCACCATTTTAGTTGCCCTCCTTTGGACACGCTCCAGTTTTTCCACATCCTTTTTGAATTGTGGTGCCCAGAACTGGACACAGTATTCCAGGTGAGGCCGGACCAAAGCATAATAGAGTGGCACTATGACTTCTCTTGATCTAGACACTATACTTCTACTGATGCAGCCTAAAATTGCATTGGCCTTTTTAGCTGCTGCATCGCACTGTTGACTCATGTTCAACTTATGGTCCACCTGGATTCCTAGATCCCTTTCACACATAGTTGCATTAAGCAATGTGTCCCCCATCGTATATCTGTGCTTTTTGTTTTTCCGCCCTAAGTGCAGTACCTTACATTTCTCCATGTTGAATTTCATTTTGTTAGCTTTGGCCCAGCTTTCTAGTCTGTTCAAGTCATTTTGAATTTTGATCCTGTCCTCTGGGGTATTAGCTACTCCTCCTAATTTGGTGTCGTCTGCAAATTTGATAACTACTTCCCCCCCCCCCTTTCCCTCTTTTCTAAAGAAGCTTCTGGAAATAAAGGCAATGGGTTGGGTCCAGGATGTGCCTTCTGTGGACAAAAGGGCTCCACTTATGTAAGACATCTGTGTCCAATGTGGGGAGACTATCCTGCTTTCACAGTACCACAGCCCACTCCATTTAGCAGGGTCCCCCCCATCCTTTGCTGGAGTTATCTAAATAGACAACCACCTATCAGGAATACCACAGTGGTATCCTAAATTACAGGTTCTGCTCTGAACAGGGGATTACACCAGAGGACACTATAATTCTCATGATCCTCCATTCCTCGATCTTCTCAATGTAACCCAAATTAGGCCAAAATTCAGGAAGAAAAACATATACATGTTCAGTTCTTTGCTCTCTGCTTGTTTGTTTAAGTGCCACTGGATGAATTGATGGTAGTGTATAATCATTCTGACCTGATATACAGAAATCTCAATACTGCCTCTGAAGGCTCATTCACTACCATTCACTTAAGACTCCTCTGCTAGCAAGAGGAAAGAACAAAACAAGACACTCTTTAAGGAACAATTTGAGCTTTCCTTCCGGCGGAAGAGGACGAGGCTGCATCCAAAATGGCCTATATCTTGCCTCCTGGCCAACCCTATGCCAAACTTTATAAACACAGAAGTGGACGCCATTTTACTCAGACGTTCTTTTTCCCATCCCCATAACTAGCCAACTCCATAATAAAACTGCCTTGTCAAGAGATTTAATTACTACAATTTATCCCTTTTCTATTGTCTCGGAGCTTGGCGTCGGGCCAGTTGGTGCCTCCTCCCCATCCAAAGAACATCTATTCAAGGCAGTGGCGAAAGAGCTGCTCTCAAATGGGCACACTCAGAACAACAGCTCATGCAAGGGGGGAAAAAACCAGAGAAAAGGTCTAGAGCAATTAAATACAGGGCAGGAAGGTTGGCGTGGAAGCCAAACACAAGCTTCTCCACTCGTGCAGAGATAACCGAGCATAGCACAGCCCATCGGGAGCCTGGGCTGGATCAATAATTCACCAGGCTTCAGACTAGGCTACAGGATAGAGTTACTCGCTTTAATTAGCCTAAAGCTCTTCCACTCCTTTGGTCTTGTTTTCGGCAGGAAGATTCATTCTTCTCAAGAGCAGGCACATCCATCTCTCCCTCGCTTCATTATTAACTAGCACTTTCCTTCCACATTCCTGCGGCCTGCCTTGTTAAATTTTCCCATTCCAGCAGCACAAGAGCTTACCAGGCCTCTTTGCAGCAGTAAAAGGATATTTGGCTAAGCCTCTTCATTTCCATCTGCAGTCGTAATAGGCACCGTGGCAGAGGGTTGGCAAGCAGGGGAATATCAGGTGCTGCATGGTCTTCTTAATTGCTTTTACAAGCCCAAATGTTTTTTTTTTTAAGTTTAATCTGGGTGATGCTCCAAACCAAAGTTTGGGAGGATCAGGGACATGGTGGAGGGGGGCTGTTTGCTCCCCCATTCCCCTCATGGGTAGTGGATTTCAACTAAATACTGGGAAGAAACAGAACTGCTTTGGAAGAAACAGATTTCTTTTGGTCAGATGTTTTTAAACAGAGGCTGAGTAGCCACCCAGCAAGAAGGCTGAACAAGGGATTTCCTGCACTGGAAGGCTTTAGACGACTTTTCAGAGCCATTCCAGCTTTAGCATTCCATGTTCATCTAATGAGACATGTTTTCTGTGATGTCTAAATCAAGCAAAAAGTGCTTAGCATTAGGGAAGGCAACTTTCAAAAGTTAAATGTCAACCTAAGCATATCAAACCCCGCAAAACTATTTGACATCTTTATCAATAACTTGGATGATAGAATAGAGGGCAGGCTTATCAAATTTGCAGATGACAGCAAATTAGGAATGGTAGCTAATACCCCAGAAGACAGGAACAGAATTCAAAACGACCATAACAGATTGGAGAGTTGGGTCAAAACTTACAAAATGAATTTCAACAAGTAGAAATGCAAAGTACTGCACTTAGGAAGAAAACAAATGAAACACAGAGATATAGGATTGGTGACACCTGGCTTGACAAAAGTACATATGAAATGGATCTGGGAGCATGAGTAGATCTAAAGCTGGACATAAGCCAACAGTGTGATGCAGCAGCTTAAAAAGCCAATATGACTGTAAACTGCATCAATAGGAGTGTAGTGTTTAGACTAAGGGAAGTAATAGTACCACTCTATTCTGCTTTGGTCAGACCTCACCTGGAATACTATGTCTAGTTCTGAGCACCACAATTCAAGAGGGATCCACAATTCAAGAGGGATATTGACAAGCTGGAATGTTTCCAAAAGAGGGTGACCAAAATGGTGAAAAGTCTGGAAACCATGTCCTATGAGGAGTGGCTCAGGGAGCTGGGTATGTTTAGCCCAGAAAAGAGAAATTTAAGAGGTGACATGATTGCCATGTTTAAATTTTTGAAGGGATGTCCTATTGAGGATGGAGCAAGCTTGTTTTCTGCTGATCCAGAGACTAGGACATGGAATAATGGGTTCAAACTACTGGAAGAGAGATTCCACCAAAACAAGCAGGTAACTTGCCCAAGGTCACTTGGTGGGTTTCATGACTGAGCAGAGAATTGAACCCTGCTCTCCAGAGTCCTAGTCTAACACTCAAACCATGATGCTACACTGAGACACCAGGAATGTTATATATGCCTGCCAAAATGCCAGCCTGGCATGTCAAAGAGGACTTTAGGAGGATGTGATGAATAAAAGATATTTTAAATAAAGAAGCAGGTGTTTATCAAAAAGGAAAGAACAGCATTCCTGCCAGCCAAACTAGCATTAGCACTCTGTCTAGTTGGCACTGAGTGCTGGATGCTCATTCCACTCTTGCAGAAACCACAGATGAACAGAGAACCTGTGGCTGTTTCTCCCTTGCTATTAATGCCCACTACCTTTTACTGTGCACAGGAGAAATAGAGAGGGAGAAACTACAGTACAAAGGAACAGAATGCTTAAGCCCCACTCTTTCAAGCAGGGGAAAGGCTATAACCTATTTTTAGAACAAATGCCTGGCGTGCAACAGGTCCCAGGTTCAATTGCTAGCATCTTCAGGAAGACTGGGGGAAAGTCTGTGGAGAGTTGGCATCAAACAACTGTAGAGCGTTGGCACCAGACAGTGTCAACAATACTGGCCTAGATGGATTAATAATTTAAGTACTATAAGGTATCTTTTGGGTTCCACGATGAGCATAGGAAATGGCCATGCTGCCTGTATAACACAAGATACCTTGTTGTCCATGGCTATTGTCCTTGTTGGCTTAAGGAGGTGGGAGTTGTAGCCTCAACACATCTGAAAGGCACCTTCTATTGTCAGTGTAGACAATACTAATAGATGAACCTGTGTTTTGCTTCCTATAAGGCAGTTTCCTATGTTCTCTACATTCAGTCTCCAAAACTGACATGAAGGAGCTTTCAAAATAGACATATCCCAGTTCTAAAAGTATAGGCAATAAGGAATTCTTGTCCAGCACATACACCTCCTAAAGGCCAAGAGTCTACACTTGCTCAGCCTAGGAATACATATTTTGCCACACTTTAAAAAGAGGACCAAAAGGTATGATTAGAGCATGTGGAAGCTGATCTGTATTCCACAGATGACATACACATTGCACATAATACCAAGCCAGGTTGTGGTTTGTTGACTTCTGGCTTTTTATATCAGAACCTATCCCATCAAACAAACCATAGTTTGTTAACAAGTTGCAAACTTCTATTAGAGACTATTGCTTGCAGTTGGCTTATTAACTATGGATTGTTACAACCATGGCTTGTTGTTATATCTGAACTAAGAACTATGGTGAATTTATTTATTTAAAATAAAATAAAAATAAAACAAAACCATGTTTTGCTCCTTACTTGTTTCCTCACATCTTTGCTCTGAAACAAGAACTAACCAAAGGGGAAGGAAAGAAGCAGACCAGAAATTGGGAAAAGTTTGTTTTGCTTACTAAGCTACCATGGCTAAAGAAATAACTGTGTGTGAAGTGTCTGGAGAGGCTTGCTACAGCCAAGACCTTCCTCTTTTGGCCCATGTCTTCAAAATTCCTATACTCCTCACTCCAGCCACTTCTTTCTCCAAAATACAAAAATTACTTACCAAATGTGACAATTTCTGGCTTCTTAGTAGATGGCTTTGGAGGCTCTTTAGTGGTAGGAGATGGCGGTTCTGTGGTAGTTGATCTTGGTGCTAGGAAAAGGGTAATCCAAAAATAAGGGTTCAGCCATTATTTCCTTACCAGATAGCCAAGAAAACTGCCTTACAGTGTATCTAGACACCCAAATGGAGTGCATCAAATCTAGAGAATATACTTAGGGCAATTCATACCAAGATCAAAGAAGGAGGCATTCTATTGTCTGAGTAAAAAAAGGATAACACAGGCTTGCAATGAAAAAAAATTTTTTTTTCAGTACTGTAGCTGTTTTCAATGTATTTTTGGGTGCCAAATTTAAAAAAACAGAATAAAAATACCATACCGCACACAGTTCTTTCACAAATTCAATATTTTTATCAGTTCAGTTGTTACTCAGCCTTAACTGTGGGTGCTGATGTTCCAGTGCAATTTCTTTTAGTGCTTTTGAACAGATTAACTTCTTTCTTACTCTTTGCACGATCATTATTTGCAGGATCATTTCATTCAGTCATATATTACAACACAGAAACCTCAAAGCAAGTTGTGAAAAAAAAGCCCTGTATGTGATGGAGCACATTTGACGTCATTTTTGATTTTAGAATGCCAAATTCCTATAAAGCCAGTACACATTTTTTTAAAAAAGCTTTTTTATGACTCTCAGTTCTGAAGGCTTGTGTAATTAAAGCAAATGGGCAAAATCTTTAAATATCTTGAAGCATTGTTACAAAGAATATATAGAAACAGAGAAAGATATGCTTACTTCAGTGGACAGGGCTAGATCTGATGGGTTTAAGATACATGAGAAAAGATTTCAATATTCAGAGAAGCTTCTTGATACTAGGAGTGGTTCAAGAGTTATACAGAAGCAGTGACAGACTTCAAGCATAAGCCAGAGAGTCATTTGTAGAGAAATGATTTAGCTCTGAATTTATGCCACCAAGCATTGGCTTGGATTAGATGCATACAAAATCCAATGTAATATTAATAGAGAACCTTTTTGACACTAACAGTGGTTCAGCAAGGGAACCAGCTATGTAGAAGGCTGGCATATTGGGCACTGAAGACCTAGAGGTTTTACTCAGATGCCAATTCTGAATTCTTATATTGCACCAAAAATCAAGCACTTGTGGAACAAAGCACCCTAGAAAGAACGAAAGAAGCATGGCTGTCTGATATCCTGAATAGGGTAGCACCCAGAACAACCTGCAACGTTTTAGTGCAGATCCCACTTATCATCCATGAGGACTGAAATTCTGGGTCCTGCATTAAATGTTAGGCTGTGCAATACTGTATAAATACAGGTCTGCCTGCTGTGTTCTACAATTAATGTTTTCCTACACAGCTAACCCTCTGTTAACATCATCTCCTGCGAAGAGAATCCTCTATGTAACCTTCTACCTTGTTGAATTTTGTTGTCTGCTGCACTCCAAGCAGTGCTTGGTTGTTTATCAAGCACCACAAATTTGCTAAGCAACAGTATAGGCAGTAGCTTTTATATTTGGAATGCACTTCTACTAAATGTTTTTATAAGCAGAAAGCATTACCTTCACACATGGTAGTAGCATTGAAAAACGAACACTTCTCCTTGGCTGGTTCTCCGTTTCCCACACAATGGCCAGTACCTTGAAGCGAAGGAGTCAGATTTTAAATACTGAAAATGCTAGCAGTCCACATTCCCAAGGAGCATCTCTTCTCATGTCAATATGTCCATGCATCAAGATCATCAGAGGAAGCCCTTGTCTGTGTATCTTCTAAAAGAGAACTATATTAACATCTTCAAGAGACAGGGCCTTCTCTGTAGTGGCATCCCAAATTTGAAATATGGTCCCATGGAAAGTATTCCCAACAGCAACACTTGTGTTCTTTTCTGTTGTTGTTGTTGTGTGCCGTCAAGTTGTTTCTGACTTATGTCAACTCTAGGGCGACCCTATTATGGGCTATTCTTTGCAAGATTTGTTCAGAGGGAGGTTGTCTTTGCCTTCCTCTGAGGCTCAGAAAGTGCTACTTGCCTAAGGTCACCCAATGGGTTTTCATGGCTGAATGGAGATTCAAACCATGGTCTCCAGAGTCCTAGTCCAACAGTCATCCTTTCCACCACACTGTTTTTCTATTCTTTTCTGCACCGGATTAAATAATTTTGTTTATCCATGTGTTTAATATTTGAAATTTGTATTTTTTAAAAAAGACTGTTGATAGTTTTTGTACCTTTCATTTTTATTGTACCAAGTGTGGATTTTTATAGTTATCACTACTTGTTTCCTCTTAATTATCACTACCACCTTCATTTTGGTGGACTCTTCCCTGAAATTTTATTTGGAATGAAGGTGTCATCTAGCCAAAGATAGATAGATAGATGACACCTTGATTCTAAGTAAGATTTCAGGCTATAAAAATAGCCTTTCTTCAGTCCCCTCTTTTCTTATATGAGGCTATATAAGATCTCCTTCAACATCAGACAACAGTATTTTTGCAAGGAGAAAGAGGGCCGGTTGCAGCACCTTGCACTACTACTCTTCTCAATTCATCACCATGTATATGTATACCTTACAAGAAGTAGCTGTTGATGGCCAACCTGAAGGTTCCTGCTTTGTCTTCTTAGGTTTCTTTATCTCTAAATTAAAGAGAGCTTTCCCAATGTAGAATCATAATTCCCATGAACCTTGACCACTGGATGTGTTGGCTTGAGGTGTATGGGATGTTTAGCTCAACAACATATCCAATGACCTCAGAAAGCTGGCCAAATGCAGTGGCTGGCAGAGATTATAATACCCCTGTCTCTAGATCTGTAGATTGCAACACACCTGTGTATTGCAGATTCATGTGCAATTTTCAGAGATCAACACCAATTGTTGTCTATGTATCTCTCCAGTGGTTTTATCTGGAGGGGTCAGGTGTTATGTTAAAATAGAAACAGGCTCTCACCTTCAGGGAATTATCAAATTCCAGGAGGAAAGAAAAACAGCAGCCCTAGAACACACTAATGATCAGAACCAAAATGTCAGCAACAAAATAGCATGCTAGAGGCTTGTTGCCAGAGGTAAACTAGTTAGTTTGAATCAAACCTACCCCATAATGCAACACGAAATTTTGAACTGCAAACGTTCATAAGCTACATCCCCAAGGAGACTCCAGATATGCAGGCAACTGGACCTGTTTCAATAAACCAGTTCTACCAGTTGTCAGCTTTTTTGAGCAGGCCTTTTGTAAAAGTTACAGGTCTTAATTGCCTTCTGAAGATCAAACATCCCTGTAACACTCTGCATTATAACACAGATGGTTTCATAACAGTAGATTTTGGGTTTCTGTGGCAACAGTTCTTACTGTGAGGACTGCCAATAAGCTTTGGAAACCTGGGCAGGTGGCAAATGATATCATCATGGCTATTTAACAAAATGTGCTGGCGCTTTCAGCCTTTGAGTCCTAGCTTCCCCACAGTACCCTCCAAATTGTAGCCCACAGATCTCAGCTTCCAAGCCTTCCTTGCCTATGCAATATTTAG